AAACTAAAACTGTATCAAATGAGGACACCACCAACATTATGACTCATTTCGTTGGTGTTGACTTTAATTCATTATATCCTTCATCATTTTCATCTAATCCTCATGATTTCATTCAATATACTGACCATAAAATGTATATGCCGGGAAGATTGAATGGTGTTATCATTTGTGATACAGCAACAAAGAAAGCAAAAGCACTGGGAATATTAGAAAGAAAAATACTTTATTCGTGGCTGAAGTAAAGGGTCACATTGATGAAAAATACATTAATGATTACATAAACTTTTTACCAATAATAAGAAACTTAGATATTATCACAGATGAAAAAACAATTGGCAGTTTTATGTATAATTACATGAAATCAAACAATCTACCAGTTGACCAGAAACAGAGAAATTAACTCAGTTAGCATCAACACACAACCAATATCAACCATTTTCTTCTTATTATCTTTGGTATCTAATAGACAGATTTCATTTTATCATTGATGATATTCAATCAATTTTAACATTTACGAAAAACACTTGTTTTAATGAATTTGCGAACGAATTTATGAACGAAAGACAAAAGGCTGAATTAGAAGGAAATAAAGGAAAAAGTTTATTTTGCAAGATTTCACTTAATGGATCATATGGTTACGATGCAATGAATACACAAAATTACGCAAAGACTAAAATAATGAATGCACAGAAGGCACGCGTTGCATGTATGTCAAATAAGTTTAAAAACATAAGAGAAATAGGTGAAGATACGTATCAAGTGATGCTTAAAGATAGATTTTATAGATGTGATACATGTTTACAAGAGGCATTCTTCACTTTAGATAACGCAAAATACTGGTATTTGGTTTTCATTTATGATTTTATGTATAAATGCATGAATGTTAATCGTTTTCATTTCATTGAAGGTGATACTGATTCATCTTATTGGGCAATCGCTGGCGACCCAAATCTTCCTAACACTCAAGCATTTCAAGCAATTGTTACTGATAAACAATTTTATGATAAAAACATTTACAAATTCGCACCTTTTGATTTCTTTTGTTTTAATGAGAAATTTAAACCTAAATTAAAGAATAAAGCTGAAGAAAAAGCACATGAGAAGAAGTTATTGGGTTTAGCAATTGAGAAACAAGGTGATAACATGGTTGCTTTATGCCCAAGTGTTATACATCATTCAACGTTCAATTGATGGAAGTGATTTTAAAAAGATTGCACAAAAAATGAAAGGAGTTAGTTTACGACAAAATAAACAATTAACACCTAAAAATTATTTGGATATAATAAATGATAAAGTGATATTTGATGGTCAGAATATTAATTTACAACTTAAAAACGGGTCAATGACTCGCTTAACAATTGGTAAGACTGCATTAACAGGAGCACACACTAAGGCTGTGTGTTGTGAAAATGGATGTTGTATGCCATTTATTTAATAAAATGCCACAGAAGAGACAAAAGGAACCGTTAATGATGTTTTTGATACTATGATTCAAAGAGGTGGGCACCCTTAAAACATTTATTTTATTTTTATATAAATGGATAACTCAGATTTAGAAAATTTAATTGATGATTTAGTACTTAATCAAAAATTTCTTAGTTATTATGATTTAAAAGCATATCTCCAAAAATATAATAATAATATAACGGGTGATGATATGGAATATTATTATCCATATTATAAAAATGAAATTTTGAAATATCATGATAGAATAATTTCTAAAATTAAAGACAAAATTAAAAATAATGAATATTCAAAGGGAAAAACTAAATCACAGCTTAAACAGTTGAAAGATTTCAAAAATAAAGTATTAACAGAAGAAGATATTGATGAATTATATAAATTATATAATCCTGAGCCGCAAAAGCAAAAGGAGCAAAAACAAAAGGTGCAAAACACCCAGGCCCTTCAGACCATAAATGATGCACAAGCTTTAATTTATGATTCATTAGTTAAACCATATTCAGCCCGACTTTTAAATGAAGATCAACTTTTGGAATTCATCCTTCAACATAAACTCGAAGCGGGAAAGTATATTAAACCTTTATATACAGCATATTTAAAACAAATGAATAGAATACATCCAGAATTAATGAAGGAAGGAATGAATTCCAAAACTTCATCATCCAAAATCAAAGCAGATAAAATTAAACCACTTGCAACACCAAAACCTCTAACGACAGTACCTGCAACACCAAAACCACCTCCTCCTTCAGTTAATCCTTCATCATTCACTTTATTATATCCATTTCAAACATTAAAGAAACAAAAAGATTTTAAAAAGGATTTCAAAATATTAAATAAACCAACTGACCCAAAAATTCAACCGTTAAAGGAAAAATTTGGTCGCCCTTCATTTGCACCATATCCATATTCATATGAAATCGATCATTTAGAATATTCAAAAGGAAACGTTACTTATTTATTTACCATTAACATTAACACCAGATATTTATATTGCATTCCAGTGAAAGGGAAAACAGAACAGGAAACAAGAAGAGCTATTCAATACTTACTAGATCATGAAAGAGTAGATAATATCAGGGGTGATGGTGATAAAGGATTTCAGGCAGCTATGACTCATTATTTCCCACAAATTAATTTTTACTTTTCATCCTCTCCATATACGTTTCATAATAAAATAGTTGATGCGGTAATGAGAACTCTTAGAGATGCGTTAGGGGTTAACGGTCAGATATACTGGGATGGAAATCATGACTCCATCATACAACAGTTAGTATATTATTACAATAATACATGGCATAGAACAATAAACATGAAACCAGTGGAAATGAAAAATGATATTTCAAAAGAATGGGAATATATTAGAAAGCAAATGGAAAGGTTGAATGATGTTAAACGTGAACAAATTAATTCAGGACTCATGAATTTTAAACAAGGGGATAAAGTTTTGATTCATCTCGATTATGGAAAAACTGATAAATCAATGACAAAAAGAAGACGAAGATTTGACACAATAGCTGAATTTGTTAGATATATTAACGGCAATGCATTAGTTGAGGTTGACAATAAATTAATAGAAATTCCGATTTATTTTATTACTCCATTATATTTAAATAATATTTAATTTTTTTATTTCGTAAGAAATGAGTGACAACGAAGCATCAAGAGTCCAGACAATGAATATAAAAAGAAACTAAACAGAATTAAATCAAAAATATGCTATTACAAAAAGAAGCCACAATGCGGTGGGGTTGAAAACGATAAAGAGAGGAAAGAAATAATCGAAAAATTAGAAACTTACCGTTCAATCCTTAAACTGAGTGAAGTAAAAATAAAAGAATTTAATAGAATAAATAAATTGATTGGAAGAGATGAATTTAATAAAGATGAATTTTTAAACTCAATCCAAATTTAATTTTTATTCCTCTTTGACAACATCTCTCTTTCCATCATTACTGCATAACCACATTTTCTCAATTTTAGTGGTTTGTTATTTTTAACATGTTCTTGCATCATTTTTATCATTTCCTCCCTTGTTATGATTCGTGGTAAATTTTGAGCTTGTGGGGTATTCATTTATGATAAAAATAAAAATTTAAATTATGTCGTTTGCTCTTTTGGAGCTCAAGACTTTCAGTCCGTTCTAAAGTTTGAGACAACATGACATTTTGACAACAACACAGGAAATAAATGTTATCGTTTATGTTTTCATTAATGATTTTAGGTTATTCAATAATTAATTATTTTTGAATAACTGGGAAATAAATTTACGTCAAATATGCAATTTATAAAATCTTATGTCGACAGGCTACGTAGCACAGTGGTCAAAGGTGGTGTTATGGAGGGGTCAGGGTCTGTGGTTCGAACCGCGACAGCGCCGTATTTTCTTATTTTCTTTGTTTGTCTTGTTTGTCGTGAATAAAAAGTGTCATAAAAGTGCTCTATCTTCCACGGGAATAAATAAAAAATTTACTTTATTTCTTCTTTATTTCTTCTTTATTTCTTTGTTCCCGTGGAAGAAGGGTTTTGCTGTTTTTTCTCAGCCGAAATCAATGATTTTTTCATTTTTGGAATCCTTAGCGAATGAGGAATCTTTTCTCTCGTGGAAGCTTTGACCAAAAATATAATTTAGGTGAAGAGGTGAGATCTCACCTGTTTTTTCACCTGTTTTTATGGTAGCAGTGAAATAAAATTTTGTTATCAGTTATTTTATCATCATTTTATTAAGTTCATCTTTAGTTAATAATTTGAATGGATTCGCTAATGTTCCACCTTGAGTCACAACACTTACCCTGGCTAATTGTGAAGAACCTGGGATAAGTACTCCACGAAATGATTTCATTGGTATCATTAATTTAGAAATAGTTGGCTTAATTAATTTGGTCATTTATGATAAAAATAAAATTGCATAATTTAAATTTTTTTCTTTCTCATTTTCTCATTTTTCATTCTGTTTTGGTTTCAGCAACTTTTCAAGTTGTTGTCTTGTCAGTAACTTTAATTTTAACTTTGGATCAAATATTGGGTTTCCATCTTTATCTCTTCCAATAACACCATATGGTAGAATCTTCATTTATACTAAAATAAAAATTTAAATTATGCTGTTTGCTCTTTTGGAGCTCCTAAAGTTTGTTTCACAAACATTGAGCGTTCATTGAACTCTATACCATGCGAATACAGTCATAAATGGTGGCATGTAATCTTTACTTTGTCCCGTTGTTTGTGTATATCCTGAAACGCGATGTGTATGGTTTCCTTCTCCCTGAGTGTCACTCCAGTAACAATTTATGGCAAACTTAACGTTGTCTTTAACATCATATCCTTTACCTTTTGTCATTCCTGACCAATCCCAATATCTATGCTTATGCCAACCCGCTTGAGATGTGCTTAAATCATGTAGTGACTGTGTGCAGGTAAATTTTCACCTGTAATCGTTTTACTTCCCCTGTTTCCTTTGAAGAGTTTGCACAATACAAAAACCTGTCGACTATTTGTTCCCATGCACCAACACCAAACATTGCTTGAGGACCTCTCACATCCATAGATGTATAAATAGAACCTACTGGGTTCATTAAATCAAACATATGAGATAATATAGGATTGTCTCTTTTGAACTTAAAATATAGTGTAACTATTTCGGGTTTCTTCTGGTTTGTGTCAGAATATTTTTTATAATATAATCTTATGTTTTCAGGGTATGTAAAATCTTGACTATAATATTTATTTTTGTCATCTATATAATAATATACTATTCTCGTTTTTTCTATTGCATTATATCTTTTATATCTATAATAATCTAAATATAATGTTTGCTTTTGTTCATCTACATGCGGCGTTCTGACATCATCTCCATAGTCGAAATAATACGGTGCTGGAGCTACGTTAGACAATGTCATATCTGTCATTTCATAAACTCTTAAATATTTCTTTTGTTCGTCTCCATATAAGTTTAAGTAACAGTTGTTGTCTAATGGAACTTTAACTTGTGTACCATCATTCTTTATATAGCCTACATACATTTCATTGTTATTTTTCGGAATGAGTTTATACCGTATACCATTTTTTAAGGAGTGTACAAACTCCCATCTAAAATATTTATTTTCTTCATAGACGGAAAAGTCACCAGCAATAGTTTCAATATTTTTAGTTGTTCCTATCAAACTTTGGTATATTTCATTCACATATTCTTTATTTGCTTTCTTCTCTAACTCATCGTTAACATAAGTTTTATCTGCTTTAAGGTCTAAACATTCTGAAACCCATCCTGTATCAGCTTTAGTTTTAAGAATCTTCGATGTCCGTCCATGATACCATTCAACCCTTTCTATAATTTCATTATCTTTTTCATTAACATATTCCTTATTTGCTTTCTTCATTAACTCACTATCCACAAGTCCCTTATCTGCCTTCTTCATTAACTCACTATCCACATATTCCTTATCTGCTTTCTTCATTAACTCACTAGCCACATATTCCTTATCTGCTTTCTTCATTAATGCACTATCCACATATTCCTTATCTGCCTTCTTCATTAACTCACTATCCACATATTCCTTATCTGCTTTCTTCATTATGTCATTTAGGAAACCTTCTATGAATTCCTCATTTAAATTAAATCTTCCAATCTTCAAAACTTTAGGAAATGCATTTAATGCGTAATATCTTTGTTCTTCTGGTGGAATTGATGTTATATCATCCGTTATTCCTTTAATTTTTGAATTCATAAATAAAATTTCTTTTATATTTGATATCACTGCACCACCCTTGCAAACGAATTCAAAATGGTCATTTTTCAATACTATCTCCAAATCTCCATATTTCAACCTTTGCGTTTGTTCTGCCGTCTTTGAATTATATGCATATGTGGCGTAAGTAATGGTCTGTGCCTTAAGTTGCTGTGGTTGCTGTTGTTTAATCATTTATTATGATTTAAAAATAAATATTTAATCTGTTATCTCATCAGCTATTTTTTCTATTTGAAATTGCCATAATATTTCATTCATAAATTCTAAATCACAATCAAATAGGTCAGTTATTCTAAATTTAATATTTGATAAATCTTTTGAATGAAGAATAAATGAATTCCCGGATAATTGAAACGGATATGATAAAGAAAATATGTTTAAGTTGATGGATAAAATGTTTTGTATTGATGGGTAAGAGTTAGGGTCTAATGTTTGATGTGAAAATCTCATTGGGGTATTAACTTTATCACATTTGATTAAAATGAAATTGGAACCAGTGTCAGAATACAAAACATCCCCAACATCTTTTTCAAAATTTAATATCCCCAACAATGAACGAAGATGAGGAGTACAAAATTTAATTTTCAGCGGGAATTTAATAAGGTTATTTATTTCATCAAGTTCAAAAAGTTTATCAGGTTTTGATTTAAAATTTTCTTCATACCAAATAAATGATTCATTTAAATAACTTAAAATTGTGTTAATATCCCATTTCGTTATCACATTATTTATATACATATCATACGTTTTTTCAAGGTCATCTTTAATAAATGATATATAATCTGAAGGGTCTAAAAGAATGGGATTAAATTTACCACTCACAGAAACGAGAGTAACATTATAAATTCCACTAACTGTTAAATTTAATTCACAACTATTATTCGAAATAATATTGATAATTGACATTTTTATTACGATTAAAAATATGGTAAAGCGTTATTTTCCAGTGATAAATAAAACTAGAATAAGATTACCTCAAGAATTCATAAATTCAACGAATAAGAAATTCATTCATGTTATAAATTTCAGTGTTTTCAGAAAATATGAGTCAATGTCATATTCATCATCGGGTTATATTTCACTTCATTCAAATTTAGTTCAATCAAACCCATATAATGACCATTTCATAAGATTTTCAGATGGTATTAAAAATGTAATTGATAGATTAAAATATGAACAGATTGACAATATCGAATTTTTGGAATTTTGGTTTAAATATCCTGATGGAAAAAAGATTGAAGTTAAAGATAAAGCTGATACTATAACAAAAACAATTACAATGACCGATCCAGATAGTGGGGAACAAAAAGAAATAAAACAAACGATAGAAACTGGTGAAAGGTCAATTATTATTGATTATGATTCAAAGGATTATTATTCAATAATGTTAATGCTTGAATATTAAATAGCCTTAACAAAGAATTTTTCAAGTGATATTTTATATTCATCAACTATTTTATTATAAATATCATTATATGTTAAATGAAGTTCAGTTGTTGTTCCGTTCTTTGATATCTTAATTGTGCTAATATCCTTTATAGGATTTATTTTTGCAACTGTTCCGCAGCATGAAACCTCATCATCTATGAAAAATTGAATCTTAACGTCTGAATCTTGAACATCACAAAGAATGGCGATAATGTGAATTAATGATTCATAAGGTAAAATAATTAAACCGGATTGATCAATTAAATTTATTATTGAATCATAATTATCAGTTATTATATCACGGTAAATTTTCATTAATTCAGAATTAATGTCTATTTTATATGGCGCATTGCGACTGGAATCGTATATTCCTGGGTTCTCGATGTTTGATGAAAGAGGTGGGGGGTATGTTGGATATGTGGGGATTTCAACGGTTCTTTACCGGGTTCAGATAAAATGATTGGGTCTCCATTCTCATGGTTTTCTTCATTCTCCTCATTCTTCGGTAAGTCACGAGTTAATAAATTTGGTTGAGTTGCTGACCTTGTTAATTCAGGGCTAACATTAACTTTAACATTTTGAATAATTCGTGATTTATCATCATTTACGTTATAACCAACCGTAATCTCTGCTTTTGCGTTAGTGTTCTTTTGACTTGTGAAACGTCTTCTCATTTATAATTGAATAAAAAAAGAAAAATATATATTTAAAGTTTTATTTAGTTGTTACGGTAATATCCCAAGGTTCATCATTGTTTGCTTATACTTTCTTTGTAACTGCACCAATAATGTTATTGATATTGCTTTGAGTTTCTTCCAGTCTTATTTCATCATTTACAATATCTTTAATCATTTCATTACATGCATTCTTAAAACCATCTGATTTTTCTAATTTACGTCTATCACTTTCTTTAATTAAATCAAAGTTATAACCTTGTTGAGAATAAAGTGGTTTCTTTATCAATTCCTTGAACGCTTCTGCAAGTGAAGATGAAGAAATTCTTGCCACTTGAATTGGTTTAAATTCTGCTTTCATTGCTTCTTTCTGTTCATTGAACACTGGATCGAATAAAGCAACTTTAAAGAATTTCTTAGCTGGAATTTCAGGTCTCAAATTTGCATATTGACCATCAAACTGATTAACATATTGTGGTAATCCATCCGGTCCTTCTTCAATAGCTTAATTCTTCATTGAAATATGAATATGGATTATGACGGTATGAATTAATTGGCCATGTTCACCTTCTCCAATGTATTGTTTAACAGCTTTTCCATTCATCAAATTGCATAGGATAACATTCATTATATGCTTTACGTTTAGGATAATCATATACAGTTAATTTGTAACCATTTATGACTTTAATATTACCTCGACCATCAGTAACGAAAACTTCATTTATACCATCAGGTTTTCCATTTGGACCTGTAATGTCTGCTTCATGTGCTTCCCAATTTGGACCTTGACGTTTTGGCATATGCTTGAGCTTCTGGTAATGTTAAAACGTTTCTCATTTGTTTTACATCTTTTTGAAGACCAGCAACAATATGAACTAATTCTTTCATTCCGTCTGGAACTTTCATAGTTCTATTATACACACCCCCTTTTTGTTTGTCCCCTGTTTTAATGGAACCTGTAAAAGATTTGCTATTTCTGTCATGTTTAATTATAAATAAAAAATAAAAATTAATTATAAAAAGTTAATCAAATTTAACACATCCTTTATTTAAATCAACTATTATTTTTCCATGTTCACCTAATTGTTGATATTGTGTGTAAAGTTCATTAATGCTCATTGGTAAATTCACTTGATAAAGCATAACGTTCAACTGTTGACGACTAAAACCACTGAAAATGAAAAGTGTTGATAGATTTGATTTAATGTTTGTGCTTAATGCTTTGAAGTATTGAACAGCCATGAAGAATGAACACTGAATGTGTCGACATTGAGTTAATAACTGATTAAAATATGATTTCTCATTTGTTATTAGTTTTGATTTCACCGCATCATCTAGAAAAATGAGTGAATGCAAAAATTCTCTATCAAAATTTGAAATAGAAAGTGTTTCAAATAATTCATCCCGTTGTTTATCAATAATTTTATCCTCTAATCCTTGCTTCTTGATTGTATTATATAATTCTTTATACATTAAAAAGTTTTTTTAAATAATCTTCTGCTTCTTCTTGTGATAAATAAATAATTGGAATTTTGATTAAATGCTTTAAAGATTCAAATGTATCATCTGAAGGTGAACCTGAACGGTTGATATAAATTAACACATGTGAATGGGGGAAGTGTTAGCAATAATGATAATTTGTTTTAATATCGTTAATGTTTACCTTTATTTTGTTTACCAATTGCTGCAGTGATTGAATTTAAGTAACATTCAGAATATGGAATTTTCATTAATTTTTCCTTAGATAGAGCATTTCTATTATCACTCAATGCTTCATTAATCATATCATCTACGTATGTATTATATACTCCCGCTAATTCTTCAGAATTTAAATCCATTTAATCAAAAATAAATTTATAATTTTATACATTTCTATTCATCAATATTTCATCATATGAACTTCTATACTGTGGTGGTGTACCTGTTGGATGATATTTCAAACCTTCATCCGGTGTCCATGTCCAATACGTAGTCCTAGTAAACCAAACCTGAGGAGGATTTGTCACCTTTGAACAGTAAGTGTCATTTACACCCTGAATGATTGGATAAGCTTTCACTTGTACTGTAACTTGTGAGTTGAAAGTTTCTAATCCATCAAAGAATATACCCGCTCCATCACGTTGAACTGGAATAGTGCATAAGAATGAAGTTTTGGTCTTTCCATGTTCTAGCTAATGGTGTGCCATCATCATCATTCAGTGGTCTAGTTAATGAGTCCTCGTATTCTTCCGTGCATTCATTCACTCCATCTAAATCAGAAGCTTGAAGCATACGTGTAAAGAATATGTCACCCACTGTGGTCATCGCTTGATCGGGGAAGTTTCTGGAATCTATAGTGACCTGAAGACCTCGAAGCATTGGATTTTCTAAAACTGTTCTTTGCATTGCATTCTTCGGAAATGCTAACACAACATCTGTAACATTATGAAGAGCGTATGAGAAATCTGAACTGATACCTTCAGGAGTGATGCAACCTCCATTTAGTGAACGAACGTCAATATGTTGAGCTGGAATCATGAATGGATCTTCCTTACTGAATAAACGTGGTATTGCTTTAACTGATTCTTCAATTAAACCGTATCCTGGTGTAATGCATTTATCCTCTAAACTTCCATCTTGTGCATGAAATAATAACGTCTTCAACTGTTGCGTCAGCAGATGTGGCGGCTAAGCTTGTAATTAATTTGGCAGGAAGTCCGATTTGTTGGAATTTGCGATCATATT